AATTTAATATAGTTAAAGTATAATAACTATATAGGTATTACTCTTAAAATTATTTCTTCTGTAAGTGCACATCTCTCGAAGAAATTAAATTGATTCATAAGTTTTTTTGGTACATTTCTTTTATTTGCTGATGAATTTATATTGGTAGTAGATTCTTGTTGTACAATTACTGGCGCTTCTTCGTCAGAGTCCGATGTCGCTTTAGGTTTTGAAGTTTTTTCCTCGTCAATTTCTTCACCCCCTTCTCCTTGGTCACCTTCTTCATTAGGAAAATCCCCCTCGCCTTCGCTTTCTCCTTCCTCCACTTCTTCTTGTGTTCTCCCATCAACATTTTCATCTGAGTCTATCACAAGATCTTCCTTATTGTGGTCACTTTCTTCTTTTATTTCTTCTAGTGCAGTTTCATTGTCGTTTTCTGTAAAGTTTTCAGTTGTTTCTACAATAAATAAATAATATTAACTATTGTATATTTAGAATTTATATGTAACAACTATAGGTACCACTGTACGAGTATTATTGTTTATCGAAGAAGGTATATAGACAATAGACATATTATAGTACATATAGTACCTACACAGCTGCAGTCAGCGAATGATATAATCGTATATTATACCTAGTGTAAAGTAGTACCTATACCTATATTAGTATTTTTAATTTACTATGAATTAACGTAGACTTCAAATCAATCAATGTGATAAATGGAAGAATATTTTTATATGGTACAAATGTTCCATCTTTATAACTATAGGATACTCGAGCAGTTAATTCCGGTGGTTCTATAACTTGTAAAACGTTGCTTATTGCTTCATCCAATTCCTAAAATATAACAGAAATATGTTTTAAATTCAAGTATAAAATAGTATTGTCTCTAATATAGTTTTAAGTGTTTGCAGTAGGTATATATGTATATTGAGTTCGTACCCTCCCCATCCCACTAGTCTAGTCCCATTGGTTCAGCGACGCCACTGAATATGGCGAACGATCCAACAGAAATAGAATGATATTTAACATAATAAACCACTTACTTATTCTATGTATTATGTAATATTATGTGTAATGTGTAAACTATCTCATGCCCTCAGAATATGTCAAATTACAATATGTATAATTATATAATTATATAGAAACAAATAACAATATAATTAACGTTTATTATATTTTATTTTAGCATATTGCCATTAAATAAAGGATCTTTTTTATAAGTGAATAGTTTATGTTTACCGAATTTTTATTTATTAATATATGGCATGTGTCATTTAACCATAGACCTATAAACTAATGGACAGCTCATAGAAAAATAAATCACCAGACGGGATTGTTGAGAGAGAAAAGAGAGGTTTTGGTCCGTTACAGTGTGCCAAAATATATAACCCAAAACATGTTTTTTTTCTCTCTCATATGCAGGCGCATACTTTATGTTTTCTCTCTCAGATATATCGTCTGGATTAACCAATGGCAGAGTGGTGTGGGAAGAGAAGTCCATTAATTTATATGGGTCTAATGTCTATGCATTTAAATAGGTGAGTATTTAACAAATAATATTGTTATTTAACAATAGTATTCAAATTATAATTATTTGCTTGATTTTTAATTTAATAATTCTAAGTGGTGCATGCCTGTAATTTTCTGATAGTTACTAAATGGTGAATAGGTACCTATATTGATAAAATTATAAAAATATATATAATTTTTCTTAAAATCAAATATTATATCAGTTACATAGGTGCCTATATTGTGATTTAAATAACAAATATTTTCTTAATTTAATATTTTATAATATTTAACATTCATCAGATAATAATTAATACTACTGCAAATTTATGAGGAATATTATTTGAGTAATAAATTATTATTATTATTAATTTGTGTGTGATGTTGTATCTAAGTATAAATTATAAATTAATTGCCGTTTAACAATACGAGTTTTAAAATTGTAAAATATGTTTAGTACATACATAAATACATAATTATTATACTTACCTACTAATTAAGTTAAATTATATATAACTTATATCCTAATAATTATTTTACAATTGAGATAAGTGTATGTTCAATATAGAATACATGCAATTAACACAAACCGAGTAAGAACATAGGTATGCATTATTGTTAGTTGTATTCACGGCTGTAGCTACAGCCGTGGTAATATTGATGTAAATATTTTTATATTATCATTTATCAGATATAAATATTATAGAGTTATATAGATAAATAATAATAATTTTATATAATTATATCCATTATCAGCCATTATAGATATAACATTTTTAACGAAATCTCCCAATTGATGCTACTGTATAATAAAGTACCTACCTACTATACATTAAACTTTTATAAAGTAGGTATACTTTACCTATATATTATACTACCATTCCAGTTGAAGTTTTGCTTAATTTAATAAGATTTAAGTTTATTCAATTCTAGACTCTAGTTAATTAGATTGAATAGATACATATTTTAAGGTAAGAGTTAATGAGTGGGTACCTACTAATGCATTAATTTAGATTATAATTTTTTTTTAATAGTGTCACACTATTCAAAAAATCGATTATTTTTTGACGAGTTACACTATACAGTGTCATGCTTTTTTAATTTTATAAAATTGTGGAGGTAATATACCTATTGACTTAATAAAAATAACTTTTCTATTTGACATATTATTTTTGTTTCAAGAATCTTATATCTTAATTTTCTTGCAGTAACGTTTAAAAATGTTTAGGCGATATAGACATGTAGTGATATTGTGATATAATATAAAAATATTTATAAAATACAACTAAATAATTGAACTGTGAATAGTTTGGTACTTCTTCAGTTAATTTTAATTGATCATCCGGCCTAATAGATTCATTGAATTGAACTCCGTTATTATCGTCCACAGCAGGTTTAGCTATCTTTACTTGACGTCTGGAAGGTTCTTTGTTGAATGGTTTTTTCTGGCCTGATTGAGACTATTTCACACAAATAATGGTAATTTAGAAACAAAATATAAATTAAAAGTCTAAGTTTACATTACTAATGATAGTCTTGTAGCTTTTTTAGCTGTTTGATCTAATTTTGGAGGCATTATTTGTATTAAAATACAATTATACCTAGTTATTTTAATTATAAAACGGAAACACTACACTTTCATTATACATTATATTTCTCTATTAACCAAAATTATAAAAACACTGACTTGTAAGAAAAATACAATATTATATTATGTATAACCATAGAAACTTATATTTATTGATTTAACGAAGTAGGTTAGGATAGTATTAGTTTAGTTTTACAAGAATAAGAATATATAAGGGGACGGAGTGGCAGAGCGGACTAGGGTTTGGTTAATATGCACACCTTCGCCGGTTCGAACTCGGCCACTGGCGGCATTTTTCTTCGAGCAGTACATTGTCCGGAGAGAGAGGCTACCATTCCCCACCCGGGCATGGCAGATACCTACGAGTGCGCACTTAGAAATTTTGCCAAAATAAACACACACGTGTTCAAAACCTACAGTACCCTCCCTCACAGTTCCATAAGCTAATGACCTCAGTTGTCGAAGCATTGTCCAAAAAAAAAAATAATAATACTTAATTATATAGTACTATACTTGTAAATTATGTCATTATATAAAATATAACAAATTGGTACTCAATATTTATTATGGAGATACATTTTACACCTTAATTAATGTAAGTAATGATAAAATTAGCTTGATTTTTGTCTAAGAAGTTTTTTCGCCTTACCTACATAAAATCCTCGCTGTATTTCTGTCTTGTGAAAATGAAAATAAGCTTACCATTAAATATGAAAACACAAATAAATATACTGATTAGTGATTAATGATTATACTCAATAACCAACTCACAATTTTAGTTCTTAGTTTTCTTTATAGTAAATTTATAGATATTAATTTTCAAAAATATATTTCGTTATTTGTAAGTAACATCATGACATTATACAACTGTAATGACTAGTGACTACCGGTACCGAATAAATCTAGTTATACGCTTATAATCTTAAGTAAATGATGTAACTACTATTCAACGGATTAAATGGCTTTAATATAATATCCCTATTTTTAAATTAATAAATAATATTTAAATTTAAAAAAAAAAAATCGAAAATTACTCATACGAATAAATAGCTCAAAAAGAGTCGATATATTTTAAATATATATATACCTACAAGACGTATAGACTTGAAGATAGAAGTCAAACAACAGTAACACTCAGATTATAAAATTTAAAATTTAAAAATGTTGTAGTTAAAAATTTATAAAATGTTCAACTTTTATAGCTATTAGGATTGATAATTTAAAACAGGTTTCCATGTAAGTAGGTTAATTTGTAACCAAAAACAATAAAAGCACAGTTATTTTTATACCTAGTTATTTTATGTTCAAATTTGGACGAAATTAGATATTTAAAACGATTTTAGTTTTAGCTCCGTCCCCCCGCGCACCCCCCCCCCCCCACAAATCGAGCACTGATGTATCCATAGGGCATAGACCTGTTAACTAGTTTATATGTATGTATGTTATGTATCCATAACACGGTTATAGACTATAAATGACTATATAGTATCTAATATCTATAGCCGTGATCCATAAACATTTTTATGGATCATGATTTATATTGATTTATATATATTATCATGATATAAATCCAAAGAGTTCAGATATAATACCCGCCAAAATTTGTTAGCATGCCGTTCTGTTATTGTTCTGTTATTATCATACTAATTCTTATCGGTTTTTAGTTTTAATAATTTTAGTATTTTATACTTGTGTAAATGATAATGTATAAATTTTAAAATGTATAATGATACATTCAATACAAGTTAGCCTAATGATTATTGTTATATTCCTATAGTTATTATGTAGTTTTATTTTTTGTATATACCTGCGTCAGACTTCATTATTATTAATAAGTACCAATTTTATTTTTGATTGTTTCTGTTTTTGTTTCATTACACTTTCCTGCCCATTAATAAAAAGTAACTATTTGATACTTAATATGGATTCTCCATTTAAAACTCCATCAAAGTCGACCGCATCTCAAATGTTACCATCCAGTTGTTCATCTTCACCATTTACGCCAAAAAGAAGTAAAATTAAGAGGATAAGTGAAGAACATGATTCTGTTTCCCGGATTTTAGCATTTGATGAATCCAATAGCCGCTCACCTACTAGAAGGAAACTAGATTTTTTATCATTTAGTCAGCAACCATTACTAATTAGTGAAAATGAACATATTCAAACTAGCCAGACAACACCTGTCAAAATAGAACAATCAAATTTTGAAAAAAGTAAAATTTTATTATCTCCAAGTATTAAGGTTCATCCTAAACGATTTAATATTTCTGAACAAGATAAAAATGTTATCAATTCATCTCAAAATAAAAAATGTAGTTCAAATAACTCTACTCCATCCAAAAAATTAAAACTGTTAAATGCGAGTGCAGGTTGTAAAAAAATAACTTCTTTTTTCAAACCTATAAATGATGTTGGTAATAATTTTTTGCTAGCTAACCACAAATCCGATGAGGAAAATATGAATCCTACAGTTGAAAACTGTATTAAATCTGAGTTTGTTGCTAACAATACAGACAGCTATAAAAATATAATACATGAAAAAATTCTTCCATCAAAAACAATTGAACAAGGTTTAAATCATAAAAATGACAAACTAAAGAAAAGTGTTATCGAGAGACAAGTTACCACAAATCAAAATGATAATATTAATAACATTGAAGTTCAATCACAAAAATTAAATAGTGTTAGCTTAATCCTTTCAAACAGGCAAAAATCAAGTCCAAAGAGAAAAGCTGTTAAAAGTCCACGTTCAAATAAAACAATAGTTAAAGAGTTAAATATTGCAGGACAAGTTACTCCAAGTAAAAATGGAAGCATAAATAATACTCCTTTGACGAGTCCAAGAATTATGGAATACTTAGATAATAAAGTTGATATTTCTGGTGGTGATACATATAGCAGATTCATTAAGTTAATTGTTCTCAAAGCTGAAATCTTCTGTTTTGGCAAAGAAGATATAATGAAAAAAATTGAGGGTGCAACTAATGATGAACTTAAGATTTATGGAAGATTGATATCTCGGAAACATGGATGGATTCGTGCAAATGCGCCTGATGGACTTCTAAAGTATAGAGAATCAAATCTATGTGATAATTTTGATAGTGTTTTAGAATCATTAGCAACCAAACAATTAATAAATACAGGTATGTAGCACACGGCACACACATTGTTTATCATTTAATTAATTTATGAGTTATTATATTTTTTGATTTTCAGATGTTACTTCTTGTGATCTTGACGTTCTATTAAATATTCTAAAATCCCAAGAACTTAAAGATTTACAAAAGTTATTCAATATTAAATTAAGTTCCAGCAATAGTCAGACTAAACCTGAAATGATAAAATCGTTTATCAAACATGTAAAGAATCAAAGAACATTTTGTGGGAATTCAGTCAGTAATTTAAAAGAAAGGTTAGTTTAAGAGGATGTTACCCATGCATTTTTTGTCTCCGTTTACACACAAACGACATAGCAAATTTTCGTTCACTAGTTTCAATAGTGTACTGTTAGTTTTGATATTAGAGTGATTTGACCTATAATACATTTTTTAGATAATAACATTATCTGTGCTTAAGCTTTGGCTTTTATTCAATATTTTAATTTTCAAGCGAGATATGAGCATTTTTAATTTTTGATATTTGACATACCATTATCTTACTTGAAAATGAAAATTTCGTAAACGGCTACGCTAAAGCATAGATAATGTTCTTACCTAAATAATAGGTATATAATAGGTTTTATAATAGGTCAATTCACTCTGGTATCAAAACTAACAGCACACTATTGAAACTATACTCCGGCCCACGAGAGTCCATATGTCCAAACGCGTCCGTCGCTGCGCATCCGCATGTTTCCGAATAGTGGGAATGACATCATGGTGGGAGAAAATAGATTTACTATTACTATATCGATGAACGGTTTACGTATGGACTCTTGTAGGCCGGAGTATAGTGAACGACAATTTGGTATGTCGTGCGTGTGTAAGATGGAGACAACAAATGTATGGGTAGCGTCCTCTTAAGGTTTGCATAATTTGTCTAATTATAAGTATCTATATTTTGAGTTTTTTTCATTTTAGAGTCAAAAAAATAATTGGTTATTGTTTGAAACTATCAGATACATCAAGAGATGATATAATGAGCTGCTTAATATATGAATCGTACCCTTATTTTATTGGAGATGAAAAGGACAGATTTCGTGATTGTTTCAATACATTTTCTATGGTTGAAAAAAAATTATTAAAATTTCCTACATTTGAAACAAAACGAGTTTCAGTTAATTTCAGTTCAAAAGATAGCTTTGAAATGTAAGTAATTACTATATGAAATTGTTTCTCTTGTGTGAAAGTATTGTTTATAAAATAGTATAATGTAATAATAGTTGATGATATTTGAAAAATATCTGTATTGACCAGTGTTGGGTAGTAACTTAATGTAAATTACAAATTACTGTAACGCAATTATTTTTTCAGTAACGCAGTAGTAATTTCATTACATTTTACTTAAAGTAGCGCAATTTGTAACAAAATTACTTTTCAAAAGTAATTTTTATGAAGTAACGCACCAACGCGTTGTTTTCCACGTTATTACAATAATAGTTTTGAATGTACCTATTACAAAATCAAGCCGATAGGATATCCCAGAAAAATTAAAAATCAATTATATTTATTTTTGATTCCAATAATAATTAAAAATATTACTATACATTCCATGAATAAATGTTATCACTTTATGAGCAGAAAAAAAAGAGTTTGGTTCAAAAATAAAATTTAATAAAAATTAATTATGATTTATGACTTATGACTATAAGCCATATAGGTGAGATGATTGCACATATTTTGTACATAACACTATAATAGGTCTATTATCACTAGGTATATAATTGTAAAATATATATTCTTAATAATTGAATCATATGAATTGAATATGGTTAAAAAAAAAAGATAAAAAAAAGTCACCTTATTTGTAATGCACTACTTTTATGTAATGCAAATGTAATTTAAATAAAAATATTTTAAGTAACGAGTAACGTAATTTCATTACTTTTTAAAAGTAATGTACCTAACACCATTGACCGACGGGTTGAACAAATTAAATGCCAATTCAAATGTTTAAAACTAAACATATTTTTAGATAATTTTTGTTTTTGGTGGATTATAGAAATATAAAATATTATTATCTTTTAAATGCATGTTTTAAAATGTATTTATTTTTTATTTATTTATTCATTGTTATAAACGCCTATAAAGCTCAAGTACAGTAAAGATAAATTGTAGTCAATCATAAATACTTAAGGGGCCTCGCTATAGCATTGATTTAAGGAGAATCATTTAAAAAATGTCTCATCTCGTCATCGTCAGTAAATGATTATTAGTGTGTGTGGCGTCCATGCGGGTCAACTTTACCAATACGGAGTGCTCTCACATGCATTCACACACATATGTCAGTATGTAATATTGTGATCATGAAAAAATGTTTTATTTTTCATTTCAACATACGATTCTAATTCCAACAATACGTCGTAACGATTACCTTAATTTGTATTCTGACTAAATATTCTTTTTTTCCACAACATCTATGAGCGATCGATCTAGGCACATTTTTAAAATTGTATTTAGTTAATTGAATATTTAGAATAAGTTAGATAAATAAGTTATTCAAATAAGTTTGAAATTCTGAATTTTTTACAATAATTATTTATTGCAATTTAAATTATATAAATTAAAAATGTGGCTGGATCGTTCCTTTGTATATATTACAGACAATCCGAATATTTTTTCAGAATGAAAATTGTGATAATTGTCAACACGTATCGTTGGAATTGGAAACAGTATTTTTTGACAAAAAAAATACGTGGTGGTGAGGCCCCTTAAATATAATATTATCATAAAAACATTATACCAATAGAGTATATGATAATATTAATATTAAGAATAGTAACAAATAAATATAAAGCTAAAAATATTCCAATAAGTAGTACAACAATAAAATATTACGGAAACTTGGTTTAACATATGAATATCTTATGTATAAAACAAATCATAGTACTTTAAATCACTGTATTCCCTGGCAATACATTCTAAGCGATTATTATAGGCTAAGTAGTATGGTGAAATGGAATAGAAAACGTAGGACATAATCGTAAATTATATTGAGGAACATAGAAATTTAAGGAGTGTAATAGGTCCTGATAGTATATTATACATAATTTATTAACTTGTGCATACAATTTTCTGGAAGTAAGGGAATCTAAATTTAGGCTGGCCTGAATAGACAATAAAGAAGTAGTTGATGAAAAATAACTGTTGACTAGCAATTTTCTTTTATAAGCGATGAAACTAATAAACCTTCTTTGAACTATCTCAAGGAATTCAATAAGGCCAATGCGAGGGATTCCAAAGGACAGAACCGAACTCTAATTAGTCTTACCAAGAGGTGTATAACGTTTTAAGACATAGCTCGGTATTAAATCAGTTTGTATCACGGAATAAGAAACCAAGACTTATAAGTGCTTTAGAGCAAATTTATTTAATATGGGAACAAAATAATAAATTAGTTTGGAATACCACACCCAGATCATGATACCTATTAATTCAACTAGTTTATCACCACAGATATAATAGTCATTATCTATTTTAGTTTTAGAACAATCAATCTAGAATATGTTCCTTTGGTGCCACCCACCAAGGGGTGAAAATTTCATATTGTATGAAATAAAAATTATATAGGTACCTACTAAAATGAAATGTCATATTATTATGGCTACTTCAGGATCAGAATTATGGGTTTTTGAAATATTCCATTGTCTTCTTGGTAGAATTCCAATTTTTTTTTTTGATCTTTTGCATGTTTTTGTCACTCCCAAAGTAGTAACTTATGTAAAGACGCGTGTACAATTTTTTTTTTCAATTTCTATACTGACTAGTTATTGCAGTGAATATTTTAATGCCTGAATCGGACTTGCAGCTTTATCTTATGTCAATGTTTTCATTAGTAGTATACTAGTATAGTAGCACAATGAATTTGTCTAATATCTGATTTCAGACATCTAAATATCAAATAATTAAAATATATTGAATATCTTTCTTCTGTCTACACATTCTTACAAAAAAAATATTATTATAATATCAAAACATTTATTTCTTGATTTTAGATCTAAAATAGTTACATGATGAATACATTAAGTAAATATTTTATTTATTTGGTTGTTCTTTTTATGCAAAAATATTAAAATACTGTAATTATTAATGATTACACAGTGTAAAAAATGTATTTAAACATATTGACGGATCAGTGGATAATTTAATAATTTTCCATCTATTTTTTTTTTTTTTGTATTATAAATTTAACATAGATTATTAATTTTAGGTACAAAATTGCTTTGAATCTTCGTCATGAAGTTCAGTTACTTTTAGAGCAAAAGGATCATGAAAATGCAATTTTAGTATTGTGTAGTGTGTTTGAAAAATTCAAATCTGCTGTATGTGATAAACGCATTGTGTGAGTATTTATTTTAACATAAAACATTACTAAATGATAACTTAATATTATAAATAACTACATTTTATACTATATTTGTATATATTATATATTTATATTGGTTTTTGTTATGCTATATTCAGAGAATCACTATTAAAAATACCTACATATATGCGAAAATACTCTGCAATATCTGTATACGCCCATACACTGTTCAAAAATATAACAATATTAAAAAAATGTAATAAGAATGAAGACTTGTGCAAAGAAGTGTTGGAATTCTTATTAAAACATAAGGAATTTTCAATATCTAAACAAGCCGATTTACATATTGAATTAGCCAAAGTTTTCGAATCACAATATAAACAATTAGATGTTGTAAGTATATCAAGGTAATATTAAGTATAAAACAATGACAAGTAGAAAATAGAGATAATTTTTGAGCATTAAGTATGATCTTCTGTTTAATCATATCAATGCAGGATTGTGGAGTTTTGCTATAATAAATTTAAATCATTGATAAATTATGACATTTCAAAAACAACACTGGTCCGTTGGTCCGTAAAAAGCTTAAAAAATAATTATATCCATGCTATTAAACACTATAAATTATTAAAAGTGTCTTATATTGTAGTAGGAATCAATCGAATGAGAAAATAAGAGGTCTCAGTGATACTTTTTGGCCGTATTTATGGATAAGTTGTTTAAGCAACCAGAAACTTTATAAAGGTTATTTTGAGCAATTGTTCTCCAGTATAATTTTTTAGTTTTAATTATAATTATATACAATTTTTTTATTGTAATTTTTAATTTTATCTACAAGTTGATTCATAATGTTATAATATAATACATTATTAGATAGTTGGTGGTGTCATATATTTTTGGGAACTTATAATAGACCAGCATCAGAAAAACAATTCTGACAGAATAATTGAGCTTGTGAAATATATAATATAATATATCCTTTTTATAGTACATACTACTTTTACTCAAATTTCAATTTTTATACATTGATACTTTGTAGAAAAAAAAATTGTTAACCATTATATTCCTCACTTTTTGCTCAATGTTTAAGCATTTATATTTTCTAATTTTTTATTTAGGCAGCAAATATAATACTTAATGGCCTCAAGGATGACAATATGACTGAATTGGGTCGTCAGATGTTGTCCAATAGAGCAGTGATGTATGCAAATCGAAAAGTCAGGAAGTTGAATAATGAATTAAAAAAAGAATTATTGAGTGTTGTTTCTAAGTCAGAAAAACAACCACCCAGTACAACAATAAATGGACAAATAATTTCTGTTAAAGAAAAGTAAAGCAAACATTTACTATTTTAATATTTTAAAAATAACTATTAATTTTATCTCAGTAAGACAAATATATAATTCATAACATTATTATTTGCATTATTTAAATATAATACTTTAGTAAGTTAACTATTAGTAAACTATAGTGTTTTTTTAATTATAAATAATTAAAACCATTAATTAGAAACTGAACTATTATACAATTTTATATTAATTGCTAACTATACATAATTTTAAATTGTAACAATACGTTAATAACAATGTTAACAATATGTTTATTGTTAATTGAAAACAGTAGTTTTGTAAATAAAAATAACGTATTAAATGTATTTTTTGCTAATAATTATATTATATTATGGCTGTTTGCAGTTAATGGTTGTGGATAGACATTGATTTAGGCACGACATCTTACATCTATGACTGTTTAGTATTTACAACTGTAATGCAAATGTATGAATTCATTTGAAATTAAAAAATCCTTTTAAGACGACGCTACACGGGCATTTGTTGTCTTTATCTTAC